ATTACTTTATTTATTATTTTTTCATCGTTTGATAGAAGACTTGATGTAAAATCTTTATTTCTTATTCTTAGATCTTATTCTTAGGTCTGTTTATATTGTATGTTGGGCATATTAACATATGGTTTAGAGTTAGGATGGTGGTGCATTGAGGACACTGTAGAGGAAAGGTTCTTTCTATAGTGAGGTGGGTGATTCTGATGGCGTTGACCCTGAGGCGGGCTAAAACCACCTCCTCCCATCTTGCTTTCCTGTGGGATGTATCCCACAGTTTATTGTTGTTTTGTGTTTGTTGTTTATTTGAAGGCTGGTCCATTCACTTTGCCACAGATGTATTTTTTGTTTTTATAAGAGACACAAAACACCTGAGATCTGTACGAATTATGTTGATGTCCAGACCATCAGTGGACCCGGTTAATTTGTCAGCCTTTTCATTGCCATGCATACCAGAGTGGCCTGGTACCCATATTAGCTTGGATTGATTTGGTGGCACCATGTAACTTGTGGATGATATTACCCAGCAGTTAATTTTTAGTGGTTTCTAAGGATTTAATAGCTTGAAGTGAAAAGTTAAGCAAGAAAGATCTATGCATGATTCGGCAGTCTGAACTTTAGTTCACATTCAGTCGACCATACAGCTGCACCCACACACTCATCTGTCTTGGAGCCGTCGGTATATATATGAAGAAAATGAAAATGTTTAATAAGGATCTCTCTGAACCTTTTGCGTAGCTCCACCTTCGCCATGAGGCTTCCCATGGCGCTATATCTGACTAAACCAGGGTATCGATGGTAGAGAGCTATACCGACTTTCTCGATGAGGTCGTAGAGTCGCGTGGCAAAGGGCCTAGTGCCTCCATTGCCATTAGGGTGGCTCGGGTCTCGAGCAACCTTTGCCGCATAGGTCAGTGCTAACTGGCCGCGTCTGAGTCGGAGGGGAGGTACTCCTGACTCCACCTCAAGACGCTCGATCCGAGTACATTTTAGGGCTCTAACATGCACAGCATCCAAACCTTTCAAACTTGTTTTCGATGCCGAGCCAGACACGATTGACCCATAATCTACTTTAGACCTAATATCATTAGTAAAAACTTTCTATCAGCTCACCATTTATTACCAGAAATGGACTTTAATAAATTTAGTGTTTTTTGACATTTATTCTTTAACTGACCAATGTGGGTTTTTTCCAATTGAGCCTACTATCAAAGAGTAGACCAAGGAATCTAGCAGAATTTTGATTAAGTATTGGGTGGTTGTCTAGAGATAGCCTGATGTTCGGCCTCCTCCTAAGTGAAAAAAAATACCCCAATACTCTTTCTAGTGGAAAACATAAAGCCCTCGCTGGGTTTTAAGTTGATATGAATTTTTAGTTGATATGAATCATATCGACTGCCAGTTGGATGCGATTTGCCGAGAAGTCTGCATTATTGCTGGAATGCCATAATGCACAATCATCAGCGTACAGTGAGTATTTAAGATGCCGAGGAGCTGGTAAGATGTCATTTATCATGCATAGAAATAATGTTGGTGACAAGACACTTCCATGTCGGACCCCGTTTGCCTGGACAAAAATGTCAGAAAAAGTGACATTGTCAGAAAACAATTTGACAGAAAAAGTTCTGTCAGAGATGAAATTTTGAATAAAGCAAGGCAAGTTTCCACGTAATTCAAAAGCATAAAGTTTTCTGAGTAGGCCATATCGCCATGTCATGTAGGTTTTTTCTATATCTAAAAATACTGATATGAAATCATCTTTTTTGGGGAATTGCCTCTTGAATATGACTGTCCAGCTTTACTAGTTGATCGAGAGTTTGGCGTCCCTTTCGGAAACCGTACTGCTCGTCAATTAGCAAATTACTGGACTTTAAAAAATGCAAGAGCCTACTGTTAACAATTCGTTCCATAACCTTGCATAAGCAAGGAGGTAGGAGATGGCATATCTGGGATTATCCTCTCCTTTCAATATGGGAATGATGTGGGCGAAGTGTCAAGATAACGTAAAATATTTTCGTAAATTAAAGAAAAGGGTAAACGGGCGAGACAGGCAGTACTCGTAATTGGCTCACTGGTAATTTAGTACAGTGTGGCCATCTATGCGTAAAAACAATTAAACAAGTAAACTCACACGGGCATGGACGTGCGTGACATGCCCGTCGTGAATGGGTTAAGTTGTCTAAGGTATTTAATTCAAAGATTAGTAACCAACTTGTGGGGGAAAGTGTCAGGAATGCACTTATTCTGCGGGAGGAAGTTCTTGTAAACCAATATTTGTTTCATTATAAAAATTGTCGTTAATTCCTCAATGAAAGCTACAGTGATATTTTGTAACCTTTCATGTCGGCGTCCCCCATTTTTCTTCTTCTTTTATTACTGTAAATAAGAAAATGTTAGTACCTACTTTACTTATGCAGCGTGACAGCGTGTCGTTATATGTTTAGATGTAGAATATACTTACGGCAGTTTGCGCATGTGCATGTGCACACGGAGACACACATGGTGTTTG